TATGGCAGTTTGGTCATATAGTTTTCGTTTGTATTAAAGCTATGTAAAAGTTGTTGGGCCTTTGGAGCCTTAGACATATTTGTAATAATTTGGATTTTATATACAACTTGTTGGTCCAGCATTTTAGCGGTTGCGATTGGAGTTTTGTTTTTCTTTCGTGGTTTGTTTTGTTTCCTTAAAGCGTTGAGCGCACTCCCACCTGACTGGCATTCGCTACCTGTGGTCGCGGTTCTGCTCTCTGTTGCCCTTCGACGTGTACGGTAAGGGGAAGGGGGCAGGGCTGTGACAGTTTATAGTATCAAAGGTTTAGGAGACTTGCACCCCCAGCATTCTCGAGACATGGGGGGTTAGAAAGGGCTGAAAGATGGAGGAGGCAAGTAGAGAAGATTTTTGAAGTTTTGCATTGCTTTGATGCGCAGAAATTCAGGTTAGGGACTTTTATGCTGGAATGGGACGCTGAACATTGGTGGAGCTCGGTGGAGCAGTCCTGGATAGAGACAGGGACTACTGCCACCTGGGAGAATTTCCTAGTGGCATTTGATGAGAAATATTTTCTTGATTATGTCCGAGAGATGAAGTTGAGTTTATTGAGCTGCAACAAGGGAGACTGTCTGTAGAACAGTATGCTGCTAAATTTGCATAGCTCTCTCGGTATGCGCCCCATATCATCAACACTGAGGCACGCAAGGCGAGCAAGTTTGAGAGGGGCCTCAGGCCAGATATCCGAGGAAGAGTAATGTCAGCCAACCTTAAAGTGTTCTCCTCATTGGTGGACCTAACTATGAAGATCGAGAAGGATTGTGAGGAGTTCTGATTGAGAAAGGAATGGAGAGTAAGGTCCGCATCGTCTGGAAATTTTGGGGAGAAGACTTGACTGCCTTCTAGGGGAAATTTTAGAGGACGGACTCACCAGGGCAAGATGAAGGCCCAGAAGATTTTCCTGAGTGATGTGAGAGAGAACCAGTGCCCGACATGCTCATATTGTGGGTTGAGCAACCACTCGACAGTTGAGTGCTATAAGAGGAAGAGAACGTGCCTTAAGTGTGGCAGGCCTAGCCACTGGATCAAGGACTGCCCTATGATAAAGCCGGAGAACTGACCAAAGACTCAGGGTCGGGTGTTTGCACTTACGGAGTAAGAGGCGAAAGCTTCTACTTCAATGATCCGAGGTACGCTCTTTGTTTGTGGTAGAGAAGCTAGAATTTTGATTGACCCTGGTTCCTCTCATTCGTTTGTTGCACCTCATTTTGCATGCCATATGAATGTTGAACCTTCACTTCTTGACTACACTTTAGTAGTGTGCACTCCTGTGGGGGATTCTATGGAAACAGACATGGTATACAAGCAATGTGAGGTCTTGCTTGAGGGGTGTGTTCTGCAAAGTCCATCAGTATCATATTGGTTAGCTCATCCGCTTTTGCATGTTTCACGGAGCTCGTGGATTCAATTCCCATGAGCGCTACTCATTTTTTAGTGTAAAAAAGTAGTCTAAAAGGCCAATATTTTTAACTTGTGTAACTTTAACATTAGACGTTAGATATCATACTGGTTGGGTTGTCCGCCTTTATACGCTTCATTTAAAAGCTCATGCGTTTGATTCCCATGAGCCCCGTTTTTTTTTCTTTTTCTTTTTAAATTTTCAAGCTCTTTAACCCTTAAAAAAAAAGGCTGAAGTCTTTCCTTGGGGGAATTGAACCCTAGTCACTTTGAAAAGCATGCGCATATGCTATTATCCAAAACGCCATTCACGCATTTATGGTCTGTATGGGTGTCATAGAGAGCCTATTTGATGGAGAGGTTGCTGAATGGAAAGTGCAGTTGTCTAAGAAGTTCACTTATCGGATCCTAAAGGTTCTTGACATATTCGGACCATTACTACATGTCGAGGTTCCTACCACCAGTGTTTGGTCATTAGAAAGCCAAGGCTGAGTCGGAGAATTCATGAATTTTAGAGAAGGAATCGAAAAAAATTTATCCATAAAGTTTTTGGATGTCTAGAACTCAAGGGCGAGTTCTTTCTAAGTTGTAACTTGGCGAGATTGATGCTGTCCATCAACTCACGACAAACTTCAAGGCCCACCTTCAGGTCTTTGGAGGCATATTTCGTCTAGTTTCGGACATTTTCAGAATAGGGTCATAGTAGTGATTTTGATATTAGAGAAAAAAGTTACGCCTACATGAAGTCCGGGTATTTACTTCATGGTTATATTTTAGGATGAGTTTGCCGTAATTCATTTCGGCAAGTGCAAAAGTATCCAATTGGTGCTTTAATCAGGAGTTCTAATTACATTAGACTTAGGTTTATAAGGTCAAAATAAAATCTATATATAGGGGTTAAGTTAGGGTCTTTGGTTCAAACTTGAGTTATTGTGGAAGAACATTGTTTCCTTGAATTATTATATGTTTTGCATAGCCATTGAAGCTTGGCTTGTTAGATTCCTACAATTTCGAACAATTCATCAGTTTTTTTTTTTCTACATCTGTGTTTGGTTCTTTTCTTCTGATACAAATTTGCATCAAGTTAAAATTATTATAAGCCATAAAAGAGTGAAAGGGCTTGTTTGTCAATTAAGTTCTTCGCTTTATTTCTTTGAAGTTTAGAGTAAGAATGTAACATCAAGAAATATCCAGGCAGACATCCTTGACATGCACTACATATTCCCGGTCACTCTTATCTCAGTGTCTCATGCTACATAGTCTAGGTTTATATAGATAACGACAGCTCTATTCAAATCTTCTTGAAACGTTAAGTTAATACTTACAATATCATGATCTGTATCTCCACCCATAATGGCATCTTGGCATCACAGTAATATGACTCTGAAAGCAATTATAAAGTTATGAACTTGAAATGTAGAGGAACCAATCAACCCATTATCGAATATTAGAGAGTAGGGTCTTAACTTATAGGCACTGATGCTTTGTTTTGTTTTATTGCAATCATTAATCTTTATATTTATTGATTTTTGTAATCGATACATAAGGAACAGTTCCTTAGACTTGGTGGAGGGGCCACAACGTGAGTCAAGGGTTCCATTCCTACCCCATTACATATACATATATACATATAAATACAGACATAAGTATCTATATACACCACTGTTTAAAAAGTCGGCAGAACTTTCAAAAATTGGCCGACTAATTCGGACTTGGGCACTGGCTGAGCCTGGATGTGCTCGATTTCATAGGCCATGTATTTGGGAATTTACCTACAGTGCTCTAATCGGCTGATTTGTACATCAGTCAGCGATTTATTGTAAAAATTGGTGGATTTATGCACTATTGTAGTGCAGACATGTAAAAAGCTTTTTACAGGTCAAATATGGACTTTGAAGGCATCTACTCTCCTTTTTCAAGTGTTTTGGGTTCCACTATTGGGGCTTTTTCTCTTCCCAATGCTAGGTGGGCATGACAATGGACCCAGACCCGACTGGAATAGTGTTATTATCTAAACAATATTTAACATATAATAATTTAATAAAATTAATATTTAAATAAATATAAGTATATATTTTAGTTTTAATATTTGAATAATACATGTATATATTTAAAGTAACATTTAAGTATTTTATTTCTTATTTTTTGGTCGGGTCCAATAACTTCGGGTCCAAGTTTGGGTCCCACAATTTTTTTTCGGGTCAACCGGACTCGTTGTCACCAGCATTGCTGAGAAGAGATGTGAAGAGAATCTCTTTCATTTCGATGGAGGTTTTTGTACCACAAGGGGGTCTATGAGGGCAACAATGAAGACGACAACAATGACGATGGGATGATGCGACATGATTGGTGTGAGCCAACAGTCGTAGAGTGTGAGGTGCCACAAGGTACTAGGACCTCCACTGGGGAAGAAGAGGGACTTAGATTGGTTCGAGATGTAGTCAAGAGAGCAAGGCATAGCAGTTGTCCCCCTAAACAAAGACATAAAGGTGGCGGGCCCTGTAGGTTAATTATTCAGGATGATGACAACAACGATGAGGGGCAAAACACAGGCCAAGGAGGCGAGGAGCATGGCCAATTTCAAAATCTAGGCGACTATGGCATAGGAACTTTACAAGGTAGTATTCCTACTTGACAAGGAGGTACTACTTCTGTCCTACAGACTCCATCGGGCTTCACGACGATATTTGCCCTTGTCAACTCTGACAGCGAAACTCAAGAAAATCCCGAACCCCATCATTGATCTTACCACTTTTGAGCATCGTTTTTTACTATTGTACAATATATAATCTCTTTCAATTACTAGTTCACTGAAAAAGTATTGCTGAAAAAAGCATAGCAGTTGTACCCCAAAACAGAGACACAGTGATGGCGGGTGCTGTAGGCTAATTATTCAGGATGATGACAACGACGATGAGGGGCAAAACACAAGCCAAGGAGGAGAGGAGCATGGACAATTTCAAAGTCTAGGCGATTATGGCCTAAGAACTTCACAAGGTAGTATTCGTACTTGGCAAGGAGGTACTCCTACAGACTCCACCGGGCTTCATGGCAATTTTTGCCCTTGTCAACCCTGATAGCAAAACTCAAGAAAATCCCAAACCCCATCGTCAATCTTACCACTTTTGAGCATTGTTTTTTCCTATTGTGTAATATGTAATCTCCTTCAATTACTAGTTCATTGAAAAAGTACTGCTGCAAGTGCCTAAAAATTTTGTCCAAAACCCAATTATGCCTATAATATTTGTATGTTTTGCTTATTTTTTATGTGACAATATAAAAAAACAATACATGTAAAATTAAACATTTTTTACAATTTTTATTTTTTTTTGGGATTTTTTAACCCCATTTTTTTTCAGTATAAAACTCGACACTAATCGGCCAACTAAGTTGGAGTTGATCTGACTAATCAGCTCGGGCCATGACCGACTAGTCAGCCTGACTCGTTCTTTCTAACATTGATACACACACACATAATGAATGCATATAGTTGAAGTATGGTTCTATAAGAGAAAGGAGAAGTTTCTGAGAAACCTTCTGATAAATATTCCTATTCTAAACAGATATGCAATACTAAATTTGGAACAAGTACATGGATTCAGGAAAGCAGAAGCTGAATTTCATTCTTATTTCTCTGGCCAGTGGCATCCAAACAGGATCTGGACTGGGTGAGAAGAGTACTTTGCCATGCAATTTATATAATATGTTTTTTCTTATTACTGTACTTGTTTTTGTACTGATGCTTTCTGTCTGCTGCCTTAATTTGTTTCATTTTCTCATCATGGTACAAAGATAATTTTACAAAGCACAGGAAGATTCGCAAATGAGTACCAACAGCAAGAGCAAATATAACTATGTGACAATTCTGCATATTCTTCTTTATTCATACGTGCACATTGTGACATTTCTGATCATAATTTGTAAATGCAGTATTGTCCACGGCATTGCAGTGACGTTCATTGAACCTATACACCTTGCTGCATTTTTTTCCAGAGAAGGTATATATGGCTACTCTGATGACCTTGAGCGGTAAGTTATTCCTTTTACAGATCAAATACTACACTCGTTTAATTCTCAGGTTTTATGACGCTAAGTTATTTTTTTTCACTTGGAACCTACTGATATACTGTTTGTGAGGAGTAACCAGAGAGCATATGGAATTTCATCCTTGTAACTAAAATTGACTATTTAATTATTTATAGTCATAGAGTAAATAGAATTGCACACTTTGAACTAATAAGCTGCCAGTTGTAATCAGCGAGATTTTTCCCTATTCAACTCCTGCATAATTATAGCAGTGGTGGTCCATTATACATAGAATAGAAACAAATTGGGTGCCTGAAATTTTCAGGCTTTCTATAGATTACTTTCAAAACCGCTCGAATGGCCATCTATACTATAGGAATTACTAGCTTACATCATCATCGTTGTCGTCATCATTATCATTAGTTTGCATTTAAAAGGCTAAGAAGATTAGGTTATCCTACTTTTCTTGTCTTCTTTCCAAACTGATACAAACAATCCAAGCCAGACTATTGGATGACTGGCATGATTATGTTTATTTAATTCATCTTGGAGTAAAATATATATCAAGACTTTTATTTCTAATAGAATCTTTATGAATTCTTTTCAGATTCACCTATTTCTCTCGCGCTGCGCTGGATTATATAGTGAAATCGAAAAAGAAACCAGACATTTTTCACATACATGGTTGGCAAACATCTGTCATTGGGCCACTTTTTTGGGACTTCTTTGTCAATCAGGTTCATACAATAATCCATTGATCCCCTTTTTACTATTAATTTGTTCGTGGTGGCTGAATCATGAGGTCTATTGTACATTTACTTGGAGATGTGCTATGGAACTGTTAGGAATTTAGTAGATTTTGTTTAAACATGATCAGCAAGCTGAACTATGTGAACTAATTTTAGTACGGTTAAATGTTAAGGCATACAACGATACTTTGTGGTGCGGGTCACTATTGAATTAGAAGGATTGCCAATGGAATTCTACACTACACAATGCTAAAGAACTTGTTTACTCCATTTCTGAGAATATGAGTTGTTTGTCTGATGCAAATTAAAAAACTTATTATGTAGTTTGCTCATCGAAGAGGTCAAAATAAATATGTTTCAGTGTTTTTAATACAAATATTTAAGAAAATTGGGACAGAAGATTTTGTTTAAACATGATCAGCGAGCTGAACTATGTGAACTGCTTTTAGTAATGGTTAAATGTTAAGACATGCAACGATCCTTTGTGGTGCGGGTTTGAATTAGAAGGATTGCCAATGGAACTCTACACTACACAATGCTAAAGAACTTGTTTACTTCATTTCTGAGCATCGGAACTCTACACTGCACAATGCTAAAGAACTTGTTTACTCCATTTCTGAGCATCTGAGTTGTTTTTCTGATGCAAATTAAGAAAAATATTATATTAGCGTCGGAACTCTACACTGCACAATGTGAAGATTGTCCTCGAACTACGAACGTACTTTGACAAGCCGATTTCATGATTTGCACTGCAATGTCGGTTAGTGAGATCCCCAAAGGATGGTCCGCTAAAACATGATGTCTATGAGCGTTGGATGTTTTTGGAGTTAGCATGGTCATAGGTCCCACTAAGTTCTACGCATGCAACTTAATTTTATCACTCATATTGTAGAACACTGTTCATAAAATAGTTTGCCAAAAATAGTGTGGGTACTCGGGATTTGGTTCCCTAGGTTCTTGCATTTGAAGTTTTGAACATTGCATTTCTGAAATCAGGTTCTTTTCTCCCCATGGCTTTGAATTGGATTATGTTGAACGCGCTTTATTCTTCTAGTTGTTCTTCAGTTACCTATCCAGAAACAGAGGAAAAGAGTGAAGAAAATGGGTTTGCGTGTTCTTTGTTCAGCTCATCCATGTATACTTTGATATTATTGCTGTGATGAAGTTGAAATTCAAATCACTAAATGATTTTTACTCAAGATTTTTACTGGTTCATACATATATGATTCTGCGTAATAACATTTATTTGTTGAAATATCCATTTTATTCAAACTTTCTTTTCCCTCAGTAATGCTCAATGTTTGTTGATTCTCTCGTTCTCCTACCGCAGGGATTGGAAACTACAAGATTGTTGTTGACATGCCATGGTTTTGATTCTCAGGCAAGATTTTTATGTAACATCTGCTTATTAGTTTACTTAATCTTTGGTACTTTTTAAGGTGGATTCTAATTCAGGCCACTGGTATAGTGTGTTGAGCGGCCTGAAAAATTAGCATTGTGTGGATTAGATCCTCCTCAGCTGCATCGTTCAGATAGATTGCAAGATAATAGTGGCAATCATCTCGTCAATCTTTTGAAGGTACATATGTTCTCTGCTCTCAATATATAGTAAACTTTTACTGGATGATCCATTATCACTACATGTTGCAATTAGTCTAACAAAAACTGCAAGACTTTCTAGTATGTGAAGTTTTCATGCTGCCTTCCTAGTCACCATGGAAATCTGAGAAATAAGTGGTTATGGTATTCGAGGCACAAGCATTGAATAGCTTCCAATAGCAAGTGGCAGCTTAGAAATAAGGGGGCAAAATATCACTTAGGGTGTCAAAACCCCTTACAAAATCATTATGGGGGTCAAAAGATCCCAATTAACACTTAATTTTTAAAATTTCATTTCATTCAGGCACCTTCTCAAAAAATATCCTCAAAAATGCCCAATGGCCCTTGTTTAGGATTAGGAACCATGAACAAGCCACACATTTAAGTAATTTGACCCACCCAAAACAAGCAAGGTACTCCCATCATTTTGGTTGGGACCTCCATTGGGGTCAAATTACTAAAATTCCCCTACTTGTTTATGTTCCCAACCATGAACAAAGACAAGTTGAGTGTTTTGGAGGATATTTATTGAGCTACTTAAATTAAGAAGTAAAGCCTCTAATGTTAACTGCAATGTTTGGACCCCTTCAATAATATTTTCCCTAGAAAAAAAAAGAAGTATGCTTCCCTAGAGACTATTATGCATGATGCAGGTGTGACCATGGTACATCCAAGAGCATTTTGGATGAGGCAATGACAGGTGCAGTGGTCTTAAATAAGCCTTTTGCACATAATGAATTTAAGAATGGGAGATTGGCAAAAAGAAAAGTGTTTCCGAAAATAAAAAATAATAGATACTTTTGGGAAGTTATCACTAGTAGGGGTGTAAATGGGTTGGGTCAACCCCAACTTGAACATACATGGGGAGTGAGACTCGACTCAGGTCGGGTTATATTGTAGTATAATTTATATTATATATCCAGGTCATGTCCAGTCGATCCAGATCATGAACCTAGTCAGGTTGACCTGACCTCATAGGCAACCCTATTCATTATCTTATTAAGCAATTGTTTATTATGGATAGTATCAGTTTAAATCAATGTTGATTAGAAGGCTATGAATGTGCAAGAAGCTTTCTTATATTCTATGATTTACGAGTTACTACACTACCCGAAATTTATCGTCTTATTATCACAAGAGAAAAAAGATCACATATATGAACTAAGAGAATATCTAAATGGCCATTCATACTAAAACTTACAAATTTAAAGTCAAGAAATTTGAAGTTTGTGAACAATAATGGACTTGGGGAATCTAAAACACTAGCAATGAAATCCTGAAACTAGTCATATGAGTGCAAATTTGTATCATCGACATCACATTAGGGGTGGCAACGGGTCGGGTATGGGCTGGCTCCCATTGGACCCGTTCCCGACAGGTCTAAAAGAATAGTACCTATCCCCGTACCCAAGAGAATACCCGGGACCCGGACCCGGACCCGGACCGTACCCGTACCCGTAACCGGACCTTACAACCTTCTCTTATGTGCTACTCCCCCACCCCTTTTGTAGCACTTACACCCCCATGACTGAGTGCCCCTCTTCAATGTGGGATTAATCCCATGCATTGGTGGAGAGGGAGGGGTGGATTTAGAGAGAGAAACAAGACGTAGAGAATGGGGGAAGCATCTAATAGAAAGTGAGAAAGTAGTGTGAGGAAAAAGAGAGTTGAGAGAGACATGTAAGTAGTGAAATAGTTGATTCTAGTCTAAATGAGAGATTATGGGAGCTGATTTGGTCTAGAGCAAGATGGATAGGGTGCTTGGGTTGTTCCGCTATTGTGAGACAGAGTTTATGAGAGAGAAAGCCCCTAGATTTTGGAGAGAGAGAGAGAGAGAGAATTTGTGAGAGAAGTGACCTTAGAGAGAGAATTTATAGTTCACATTTGCCGGTATAAAGGGCCAGCTTTTGGGAGCTGCAAGAAAGTAGTTCCATTTTTTCCCGTTAATTTCTGCGACTTTCCAGCCATGACAGAGAACCAATTCAGTCTGGTTATGGAACTGTCCCATGTCCATCAAACATTCTCTCTCTATCTCCATTAATCCTTTGACAACCTGCGAAAAAAAAAAACCCACAAACAATGAATCATGGGTTTTCAGTTTCAACCAAGTAATGGCGATGGAATTGCAATTTCTCAGAGAAACAACGGCCCAAGATATTCAAAACCCAAAACCATACCCACTCCTTCAAAAGAGGAAATGGCAATAGCTTAGATTTACACATCCAATTGAAATCACCAAGATCAGAGCGCAATTTCTCTAGAGTTGATGAGGGAGAAGGGGAGGCTTTTTCAGAAAACAGGAAGCATCTCTCTAGAGCTGCTCAGAGATCACCTTTGTACAAACACGATAATTGACAAATGAAAATCCATTCTTACAAATGGAGATATTTGAGTAGAAACTAAGCTTACCAGTGCGTTAAACCCAACTCGATGAGGTGTATAGAGTCACAGGGGTGTAAGCTCTATAAAAGGGGCGAGGGAGTTTATGATCAAACCCTATAAACTAAAAAATACGGGTCCGGGCACCTGCCGGGTCGGGTATAGCCGGGCCCGTACCCAGACCCGGGACTGTCCAGGTATCCTTTATTGGACCCAGACACTATCCGCGGGTCCAAAACTTGGACCCATACCTGGACCCGGGATTGTCCAGGTATCCTTTATTGGACCCGGACACTACCTGCGGGTCCAAAACTTGGACCCATACCTGGACCCGTTTCAGGTATACCTGCCGAATATGGGTCGGGGTCCATTGCCAACCCTACATTACAGCATCTTTCAATCCCTACATATGTGTCTTCATTCATGTGGGGGCTGGAAAGTGTCTTTTGTTTCCTACAAATTTGGCAGAGTTATGGCACCATAAAAAAGCAGATAGTTGGTTTTCAAAAAGTCACTAGGAGTTTCACTAAAATGTTTTGATCGCAAACTTGCTAAGATACCAAGAATATGGGCCAAAAAGGATGATGGATTTCTTATCCCATTGGGTATTTATGCTTATTTATCATCATCGTTGTCATCCAAACCTTATCCCAATTAATTGGGGTCGGCTCTATCAATCCTATTCCTCCATTCTTCTCCATCAAGTACCATACCCTCAGTAAGAATAACATAGGTTCAGGATTCATGATAAGATGTGGCAAAGTTTTGCACTGGCTGCCTACGTAATCCAATCCGCCTCCTGTACCTGGGTTTGAGACGGGTTAAGGGAAAATTTAACGTCCTCACCCTTCTTAGACCAGGTATTTATGCTTATTACAAAGTAATTAGGATACTAGAATGCCCTTATGGTGCTGCAAGATGCAAGAACAACAAAATAATATGTAGCAGCTACACCAAAGATGAAACAATTTAGAGAACATTATTCAAAAGCAATTTAAGAATACTTAAGACTTCAGTTTTCACCTTTGTTACTCCCATTTTATTTGCCTATGTTTATATTCTCTTTGTTAACTGAAGTGGTAATGTCTGGTGAATTTTGTTGTGATACTTTTATTTTTATTTTTTTTTGGCATACATTCAGGGTGGAGTTGTATACTCTAATAAGGTGGCCATTGTTTCGTCTCTCCATTCAAAAGATGCTGTAATTGAAAGCATGTCTTATGGCTTAGAAACTACATTAGCAATACATAGGTGTGTGAACTATGACTTTCTATCTGATTAAATTCCTGGATAAAGATTTGCTTGAATGTATTCATTTCCGCCACTTAGTATGTACTCTGTTTTTGGTCAATTTTGGTGCGTAACATTGGAGTATTCTTATTTGGTTTAGGGAGAAAGTGTTGGTTATCCCTTATGGATTTGATGACACAAAATGGGATCCTTCAAAAGACAATTTCCTTCCAGTGAACTACTCATCAGAAGATCCCAAAGGGAAGGCTACTTGCAGGACCGCACTTAGGCAACGCCTTAGATTTGTGGACCAAACATCTGCTGCAATGGTGAATACTTTTGCGTCATCATTTTTTTTTCTTTGTTCGCTTAAAATATTTTTTGTCAGGTTCCTTTTTTTTTTTTTGCAGTAAAATTTTACCACTAGAACTATTAAAGAACTAAAAAAATAAGTGGTGAATATGATGCAGGAAATTTCAAATTTGAACCTTACAATTTCAAATGATTAACTAATTCTTTTTGTAATTGAAGCAACTTATCCTTGCTCATGATCGCTATCATATAGATAATCGTTGTTTTTCTGTAGTGAAATTTCACCATTTGTTTTTATGCAATTTTTTTTCACCAGAAAATGCAGTCCATTGCATATAAAAATGACTTAGTATTTTTGCTTATATAAAAAGTGCAATTCATCTTAAACAATGCATATACATGTAATAAGAAAACAATACCAGTACATGCACAAATTGATAATTCAGCTCTATGAGGTGAGTGAACGATATTGAGATATATAATAATTTCTATAAAAATGAACAAGAGTGCTGATCACCTATTTCTGTTTTCAGATGCTGATTGGACATTTGCTCTGAGATATCTATTGGTATTATGATTTTGAAAATATATATTAACAGCACTCTTGGTTTATTAGTTAAGCGTGTCATTATATTAATTTATTAGCTATATCTGGCCCAGGTATATTAATCCGAAGTTCTAAAGTTGCATTGTATTTAACCCAATGTTCTAATGTTGGGTTACATATTCCTTAAGAGTGAGAATCCATTTTAAGGTATTGAAATTTTTATACTGAAATTGAGCCTCAATTATATCTCTGAAGGTAAGTTTGTAAAAATTCAGCCGCCTCAAAAACGTTGCAGGTTCAACTGTTCAATGAAACCAATACTATGTCCTTCACAGGTCCTTCTATTCAATCTAAACTGAAACCGACTGAAGAGGGATTGGCAATACGGACATCATTTGAATATGACACTGTTTAAGCATTTTACTATTGAAATTTAGTTAGTGGTTAGAGGTTAATGCTTCGCTTTTACTATCCTTTGACTTCGTCTTAGCAGCTTTCTTTATTGTGTTCTACAATACCTTCTATAATTCAAGCAGGTTGTGTAACTACATGACAGTGGAAAGGTAACAGGTTGGGTGCATATATACAGAAGTTTCGGAAATAGATGTGGAAAATCTGAAAGCAGTTGTTTGTCTTGCATTGGGAAAGGGAGCTCAGGTTCTTCTCATGACATATTTCAAATGGACCAATTCAATAAGTGCTTACTTTGAGTTACTTATCATCTGCTTATCTTGTGTTCGTATTCAGTGCTGATCAAATAATTTTTTTTCTTATCCTTTTTTTTTCTTGGTGAGTTCGTCAAAAACAGTTCATCTTTTTGGGATCTAGTACAACACCAGAGGTAGAAGCTGCACTTGAATCACTTCGTAAAGAACTCAAGGTAACTATTTATTTTCCCCTGATATTGGAAGTTCTTTTCTAGTTTTCTTATGTGAAATGTGGTTTTCAGTTTGTGCTTACAGGTTTTCGTATGCAAGAACTGCTGCATGCATAAACTTAAGGAAGCTTTTGAACTACTTTTATAATTGTATTGATGATTCACTGTAATTATTGTAGGACCAAAATGTGAGATTTATAAACAAATACAACGAGGCCTTGTCACACTTGGTAATTGCAGGCTCAGATATCCTCTTGTGTGCTTCATTTCATGATCCCAAGCTGCATTTACCTGTATGTAAAGCACTATCAATAAACTCGATGTTGGTTTTCGAAAATAATTTTTGCGATAGAATAAGGTGGATTTCATTTTTGCAATTATTTCACTGTGTGGTTTATCTTGCTTGAAGCTCAAGGCAATCAAGTATGGCACCATTCCTGTGGCAGTAAATCCCAATGAAAGCAGATTAGTAAGGTAATTCCTTTCCTTCTCCAAATTCGTCTTATTGGAAAATTAGGCAGACTAAGCGCTGGCTACTGTTATGTGGGTTATTCCTTCACAGACATGCTGAGGGGCAGGAGTTTGGGAGCACAAAGTCTTCGCGCATCCTATCAATGTTTGCAAACGTGTCTTTGAGCCAAGCCCTAGATGATATGGTAGTGTCTCTAGCAACACAGAATGTAGGAGGAAAATTATAGGCTGTTAATCCAATGGACTCATAGCCCGTTGAAATGTTCAATATCTGATGGGTGATGAGGGGGAGTAGGACCCCACTGGAAATGGGAATGAACCCCCAACTAGAAATGGGCATGGCCCCAAGTGTTGGGTCCTCTCAATCTCAATCACCATCCATTTTCATGGACAGGATGACCGTAACGGGCTATGGTTCTCCAATGTCCAGAATATGTCATACTTTTCAACTTTGGGAGGCTTAATTCAAGCATCCTTTTCTGGTTTTGTGGCAGTATTAATTGTTATTCTGAATGGGAGTTTCATTTCTATTGTAGAAGTATGACGGTATCGGTTGGAGCAAGAAGATCAAGGATGCCATGTCAGAAGACTTATCGTGGGATTCTGAATGCTGTGACATGTATATGGATGCCTATATGTCCATGAAAAACCTATGAATAGGATGTATTTATGTTCTTAATGTATGTATGTGAATATCGTATGTACTATGGTTATTGGTATTTATGTAATATAAATTAAGGTTTTTGTAATTTTTTTGCCTAGATGGTGTACATATTGTCCATCCGCTGACATAAATGGTTACTTGTTTCAAGCAATTTTTTACTTGTTTCAAGCAATTTTTAAGGACGTGCATCATTTCGTACCTGATTCGAAAGTTATTGCCAATGACATGCAATTTTCAAGGTAGTAACGTTCAGTAGCCCCATTTTATTTTATATCATGCTGATGATCATTTTTTTTTTTTAATCTTTCTTGTAGGGTTATTTTTAAGAAAAATATCTCTATGCACTTTATTTTGAAGTTTTATCTCCCAATAGACCCATAATTTGAAAACGTTTATGACGGTAGAGAGATCTCACATAGTTTTGACCATTTGGACTAATTTTACCCTTTTTGACCTTCTATTTTTAACCAAAACAAAAAGTAAAAAGACACCCGTTTTTTTTACCACCTTAGCCCATACAAAAGGGTAGAAAAACACCCGTGCCTATTTCTTAATCCCTATCTCTCTGTAACGAGTCTCTTTTGTAGCAAGAGATGTTAAGGGGATATGGGTGAGAAAAAGGGGGAGATAGGTTTGGGGGAGAAACTCATTATAGAGAGGGGGCAATCTTTTAGGTGATTGTATATCATTGTAATCAACCCAACATAGTATTTGGGCTGTTTTTAGTTTTTTTTTCTTAAACCGATTTGAATTAGAGAGGGACAGCCATGCCGAGAGAGAGAGAGAGAGAGAGTTCTATTTTTCTCTGATTTTATCTCGGCGGATGCCAGATCAATCGACAAAGGCTGGAGCTTGCTGGAAATTTGTGAATTGGTGATTGATCTCTAGGCAATGTGTTTCCTCGCGAGATTCCGGTAATTTGGGTTTATCATTAAGATATCTTCTCTTTGGGGGAAATTGATTTCCCGTCGACGTTCACACCACTTTAACAGATTCTGCTTAGAAATTTAGACCGGCTATAGGGGTCTGGGCCGGGTCAACCTCGATTGGGACCTGAGCCGACTAATTCTAAGTTCGGCCAGGACCTCAACCTGGACCTAGATCAGGTCCGAGTCACTACGAC